AATAAAATTCCAAACTTTATCATAATGCAAAAAACTTATTTTCAAAAATCTTAACCTTTAACTAACATAATGTATTCAAAACATAATAGTTCCAGAAACATTTGTTCAATAGAAATAATGAAGGAAATAAAACAACTTCAATTACTTTGTTTCAAAAGTCTATACCAAAAGAACTTTCTAAAGAAATTCAAATATTTTCCTCGTCATCTCACAAATCTATCATGTATCTAGAACATCTACAATATCATTTCCTCACGTATAACACTATATGATTATCGTCAATAATATCATTCACAAACACAAACATGTATAGGGTAAACTGCCGATAAAACAATCATAACAACAAGATACATATCTTTTGATTATATTAACCATAATCAAACACACAACAAGATACATACTTTCTGATTATATCAACCATAAAAAAACACTACAAACATAGAAGTAATAACAATAGGATTCCTAATCTTCTAACAAACAATTCAATCATAATGAATTACTCGATTCTCTATCCCCGATCTTCAAACTTCCATCCTTAATCCTTGATCCCTAATCCTTGATGTCATTACTAACATCTCACACATAGATCTTTGGCATATCCACTCAATAACACCTATGTTAACTACTACTATAACCATTATGGTAACACCACTAACATAACTTGGAGCATGTCAAATACCATGATCATCATCATAGATACACCACCATCATTATTATCTCAATCATGAATCACACCATGAGCATCACCAAACCATGAACTCATCTTAGTCACACTCTTGTACCATAACTCATCGACTGTAGTCGCTCCTACAGTCCAATTTGTAGATTCCCATACATATACACTTAAGTCATCCTTCCTTTGGCTTCGAACCTGTTCTCCTATCACACAAGGCAGAACATTTATCCCTTTCACCAAAGAAAATTCACCACTCGAATATCATTTTCTTTTCTACAACTATTTTTCAAAGAGAATGTCACTCTCTTTTCAACAACCAATGTTAAAGAGAGTCGTCCCCTTTTCAACAACCAATGTCAAAGGGGATATTTCTCCCTTTTCAACAATCAATGTCAAAGTTATCACTCTCTTTTTAACAACCAATGTCAAAGAAAGCACATATTTGTAAATAAAACCAAGATTTACTAGGTACAATAAGTAAACGAATCTCTCATGCCCCATGCTTATTATCCGCACACACTCTTCTGCATTCCATCTTCAACTCATGCTCCAATCTCAACCACAAATCAATCCTAACCCTAAATAGAACCCCTAAACTCATTATATAGTATATATATATATATATATATATATTAGAAATATATTTAATCAAATAAATATTTTTGAAGTTTTAAATTGATTAGTAAATATTTTTAATTAAATAAATTAAAATAATTAGCAGATTTATATATTAGATTATTTTTATAACTAAAAATTAAATTTTAATTTGTCAATATTAATAATTTAAATTATAGTATTATAACATATTTATATTGTTAAAAAGCATAATATTAAAAAATTAATTTTTAAAATTATTATTTTAACTTTTAATTTTAAAAATTGAGTTAATCCATTGCACTATGATTTTATTTATCAATTTAACAAATTAAGAGTAAGATGACAATGAATCTGATCGAACATAAATATTATTTATTTACTATTCGACTCGAAAATAATAACTAATCAAATATTTATTTAAAAAATATCCACAAATATACTGGATATTTACATATAATTAAAATAAATATTTTATCAATTTTTAAACTAAAAATAAAAAAATAATATTTATTAAATTTTAATTTTAATTTTATCGACATATATTTTTACCCTTCCAATTGATACCAACACATGTTAAAAAGGTAAATATGATAAACTCCATTATAGACGCGCTGGGATATATAACTTACGTTGTCATCCATTAATGCATACATCTACGATACAAGACAAAGAAAAAATAAAAGGAATATATTAACCAACCAAAAGAAGTCGTAGAGGTGAAGACAAAACTATTTAGATTCACATGTGCACAGAACTCAGTTCACATGTTAGTGTCTTTACGATCAAATAAGCTTTATTTGTTTTTATAATAAGTATGCTAATAGGATAGAATAACGTGGTCCAAGAATACACGAGGTTATCATATTTTTATTATATTACTATTTAAGCAATATATTTGGGCATTAACTAAACGATAAGAATTTTTGCCGGAAAAGTTATTAGTATACTTTCAATGTTGGAGGGGATGTTGTTTTATGTTTAGTAGAAATGATTTTAAAAAGTAATAAATGTTAAATAATAAGTATATAAATTATAAAACTCGTAAAAAGAACTTTTTTAAAAAATGTACTACCACCGACCCATAAAGCATGGTAAAATTCACAACTCTACTTAAAAACTGAACATAGGGTTGGTTTTTAGTAGTGATAAAATAATAAATAGCCGCTGCCGACGTTGCTAGTAGAGAACGGAACGGGAGAGGAGTCTGCATTTAGTGTAGATTTTTGTGAGATAGGATTGTGTAGGAGTGAGAAGCAGATATGAAGAAGCAAGCATCAAGCCGTTTGCTGATGTGGGTTATGATTTGTCTTCAGGTTTATCTGATAATTGCAGCTGTGTCATTGTCGGAGTCCAATGACTCCACTTCTGTGTGCAATGGCTCTGTAGAGGACTGCCTCCGCCTCCACCACTTGGACTCACAGCTTCCCACCGTCTCCAGCTCCCACTTTCGCAGAATACTTTCTGGAGCCAATGGCCAGAACACGGCGGGTACAGCAGATCCTAATAACCCCTTCTACAAGTGTCCGTCTGGTGATAGGTACACATCATGTCTGTCAAAAATTGACGGTACTAGGATAAATTGTAATTACTACAACAAGGGATGCTAAGGTTGTGATTGAGTGGGTGAAACTATTTATGTTCGAATGCTTTTCTTTCCTCCCTCCACTGATGTTCTACGTCTTATTATTATTGGCCATATGTTTTCGTTATATAAATCTAGAATAACTCCATCTCCCGAACTGAATAAATTCCGGGAAAGATAGAGATTGTGAACAATTATATATATGTATGCTTGATTTTCGGCTTTCAATTCAATTCATTAAAGACTGTAACCGTGAATCTGTCTTAATGTAATAATGGATTGTTGTATTCTAGTTTGTACTCTTCAAGCTCAGGAGGAATGGATGTAAATCTCCTTTAGCCTTCCCCTCTTTCAACATTTATTCCATTATTAATGCTTTGTCAGGTCAACTAAGATCTCCTTTTTATGTAAAATTCATTAGTTTTAACGGATCCTTTTCAAGCTTTAATTAAATTTTAAATATCTAGTAAATTTTGAGAATTTTTAATTAACTTTTATTAAAAAATTCTTAAATTATGTAATTGTTCTTTTCATTTTTCATCTCCAATGTTAGTCAGATCAATCCACTTTTTATTTCTCTAACCTTCTTTAATATACTAATAAATTTAATTTTAGATAATGAAAAAACTAGTTAACTGCACTAATGTGAAATAGACTTTTAACGTCTGCCGTTTAACATTAGATTGTAAAACGGTTAACATAAAAAAATGACTGGTAATATTATTATAAATAAATTGATAAAATAAATGTTGGCCACTCAGCTCAACCAACGTCATAGTTCTATTCAATGTTGGCTTTGATAGCTCACCATCAACCAATATGAGGTCAATCTCACACCAAGCTCGAGCTTTGTAAAAACTGATGAAATAGACGTTGATCACCTAGTTTGGCCAACATTATAGTTCGGATCCAAATCGATTTTTGTAGCCCTTCTTCATCTAATATGAGGTTGATTGTCTGTTAAGTTCAACCTTTGTAAAAGACTGAAGAAATAGACATCGACCACCCAACCCACTCGATGTCATAGCCCGGTTCGAAGTCGGCTTTTGTAGCCCACCAACATCAACATCCAATATAATTTCGACCTCTGTTGAGTTTGGCTAACGAGCTGTCAAGCTTGAGATGTCAAGTTGTTGAGCTTGTGTTAGCTCGGGCCATGTAGAACTAAAGCATATGACATTTTGCATGGTCCGAGCTTGTATTAGCTCGGGTCATACAGAACTAAAGTATATGACATCGAAGTTTCAAGAACCTGATGTTTAAAGGAGTTTAGACGTCGGCCAGGTTAGATCCGACATCAACCTGTAGTGTCATGGTTAAAAATCTTAACAAAAAAGACCTTTCATTTGCTTGTATACCACTTTAGACATCGACCAGTCAAGGATTCGATGTAATGTGTTGGAATTAATTTATTGAGTAAAAATGCAACGTGAAAAGTTATTCCGAGTACACATTAGACATCGACCACTTAGGGCATCAGAACTGTAAATGATGTATGATGTCCGCCAAGTATGGTATCCAACATCTAATCGTGTTATCTCACTTAAAAGATTAGTACAAAAATGTGCATTTCGCTTACTGTTTCTATGCGCTTATTGTTATAGGGCTTTTGAATGCAGTTTGGTAACAACTTCAACGATCTCAAAAAAATAATTTTTGCTTCATTTAATGCAAATACTTGTATATTGATGCTTTAGGTATGATTTTATTTCATTTGACCAATTGTTTTTTTTGTATGAATATTATTTAGCTTACTATTTTTGTATGCTTAGTCAAGCTTTCTAACAATGTTCAATTAACTTCGACAATCACCATAGGTAACTTATGCTTCCTTTAACATAAATTCACAATTCATTAAATTTTTTGGGTATATGATTTTCTTTCATTTGACTAATTGTTTTCGTACATATGACATTATTTTGAGTAAGGATGAATTTTCTTCCTCATCAGCGATGACTCCTCTACTTCGAAGTTGACACCACCTTCAAATATTTAAAATTAGTTTAGTGTTTTTGATTTTTAATGTATATTGCACTTTATTTATGAATTGGTTGTTGGCAGCATGGGCTAGTCCACACACTTACAAAAAAGTGCAGGGCAGGTTGAGTTTTTAAGTTCGGAGGGTTACTCCCTCCACAACCACACACTGCTCTCTTCTCCTTCTACATCCTTTTTCACCCATCACTAATATTTAAACGAATGTGAATATGTGTTAAAAGGATGTCAACATACGTACACGGATATCGACATCCGTTGAAGGACAAACAAATGTCGATATCCATCTACGAATGTTGACATCCGTTTAAGAATATATCTGATATTATCTTTGGATATGTAACACAGGAAGACAATGTCTGAAGGACGTTGACCTTTAGTTAGGGAGTGAGGGCCACGAGATTATTATTGAAGCGAGTATTGTTGTATTGGAGGAGCAGGCATGTGGTGAATGGCAATGTGTGGGAATGGAAGGGGTTGATTGGGTGGGTTTTGACTGCATTTTCATTTGCATTACATTTGGTGTTGTTGACTTTGATTTACACCACACCCATTGTAATTGTCTCTTTCCTTCATTTTTGTTTGCCTACAGACTACAATTTCCTTTCATATATTTTCTAATATTATCTTTGGATATGTGAAGAGGGGAAGAAGCTTTCAATAGTCATTATAATCACCCTAGGATTTTGAATGGAATGAATAAAAGCTTCAGGATCATGGTAGCCATATACTGGAAGATTTCCTTCCACTTTTGCTCGTTCTATAGTCTCATCAACCTTGGATGTGGTTCGGTTATAAACAGAAATGGGAAAACTTTCCTCTATGTGCGAAGAACAGAGGAAGAGAGAAATTTGTGTGCAATCAAAGAAAACTAAAAGTGAAGGATGAAGGAGTGTAGGGAGATTTAGGGTTTTAAAATAGGTAAATAAAATTAAATGATAAAAGTTAAATTAACATAGGGTATTTTTGGAATTAAAAAATTAGTGCAGAGGTATAGGAAACACTTGGAGTGATGGAGGGAGCAACTCTCTTAAGTCCGTCAACCTACCTTTAACCCATTCGGTCGGTCTTGCATACCTCGTAACCCACACGGTCCAACAACAAGGTGACTTGTAAAAATTTAAATTAAAAAAATTAATATTAAATAAAAAATAAATACTCCATGATGCAACAAAGATAATTTATAATCATTATGTGTGTACAAGGTTATTAATTAAGCATTGATATAAATGCATGAACCTAACATAAACTATTAATAATGATCATGATTTTAATTAAAAAATTAATAGCCACAACTTGAAAAACTAAGACTCAAAATGTATACCTATTATTAATTACGTTGAAACTATATTTTTTTCTTTAGATGCAATGCATTATGCATATTAATTCAAAATTAAAAAATTAACAATTTTTATACAGACCGGTCTATAAGCCTATAGACTAAATGTTATACGAGGCATACAGAAAAAATTGTCTGCATTTCTTATACAAGACTCTAACTTATTTTTTGCTTACCAAATGTGGAACGGACCAAAACAGAGCAAATCAATTCTCATTGTCATTCCTACTCAAAGATGGAAGATAGATATTGATCTTATACTTAAAATTTTAAAAACTCAAATTGAAAATAAGTATGGAATGATAATTGATTATTTTATTTGTTAATTGATAATCTTAACAATTACGTCCCTATATGTAGTAGTTGATTGTTAGACAATTTAATTGATTAAATACATTTCTCACTAATTGTGAAAACAAGTTTAATCAATAAAAAAATCCAAATTGGTTGAAAAGATGAAAACATGTAAGAACTCTGTTTTAATTGGTTATAAATGATCGATTATTTTAAAAATCCTCTGAAGAACAAATTATTCTACTGAAACGCTTAATCGATGAAAAGGATTGAATTTGATTTTAAACTTAATTTTAGCTTTCAGAAATCCATAGGCTATGTGATAAAATGGAGAGTTCTAATAATTACTATCATATATAAAATACTTAAAACAAAAACAAAGAAGTTACATACTAAACACCTAAATATTCATTAGCATCTTTTGAATCTATGAAATTTTCTTCAATATCAACATTGTGATTAAAATATAATAACTTTTTGTGTTGCGAGGGCTAGCTTGTTACTTTTTCTAATATACCAACCCCCAATCCATATCATCATTGAAAATGAAAAGGACGTATTTCAAGTTAGGATCTATATTCTTTACTCAAAGTATATATTTCAAGTTGTTATGAAGATTAGATGAGTTTTTTATTATCTTTCATTATCCAAATTGCGTTGTTCACTTTTTATTTTCTTTGTCCAAATCATATGGAAATATACATACAAAATTCACTCCCAAGTTCAAATTAATAACTTTGCATTATATAATATTTAATAAGAAGTGAGTACTCGTTAAGTATATTCTTCGTCTCAAATTTATAGAACTCTAACTCATTGTGGAGTTATCCACCTACAAAAAGTTAACTTAAATTATGACACCTCAAATAATAGATTGAATTTTTCTTCAGTAATGGTTCACAAAGGAAAAAAAACGCCGTGGAAAAACGTTGCGAATATGTAACAGTTTTCTAAAACAAAAAAAAATCAATCACGATACTTTTTTCTTGGCTGAAATTTCCACACACAGGACATTGACTTGTAAGTCCAAGAAACCAAAAACCAAACGCAAGCGTAGACTTGGTAATTATAAACTTGAAATGTCCTGCTTGCTAATGAAACGTAAGACACGACATTCCCTGGCTATTATCACCTCTCAAACGATAGGTTGACTGATGATGTTCTAGTTAAGCTCTCTTTGTTGCTTTGATTACAGATAATCCATGGATCCAGCTTGCACGCCAACTGCTTCAGGAACCATCCTCCTCCTCCTCCTGTTGTGGTGCCTCTCTTTCCTTTCCACAGCAGACGATATTTATCATCCCACTGACCTCTTCAGCGTCAGCTGTGGCTCATCCACCAACTTCTCCACTCCCGACACTCGGAATTGGACTTCAGACAATCACTTCCTCTCTCCAACCAACCTATCAGTTTCTGCTCCTTCACTCACACAGTCTACCATCCAGGGTCCCTACACCCATGCTCGTCTCTCCTACTCACCATTCACTTACTCATTCCCTCTCACACAAGGCCCCAAGTTCATTCGTCTCTTCTTCTACTCAACTTCATACCAGAACTTTAATCGCTCCCTAGCCTCTTTCTCAGTCAAAGCAGGCCCCTACACCCTCCTTCAAGATTTCAATTCTTCCCTCAACGCCGATGCTGATGATGATCCTAGCCACCCTGACATCTTGCTCAAAGAGTATTGCATCAACCTTCAAGATGGTGACAAGCTCAACATAACCTTCCTTCCTAGCACCAGATATTCCTACGCTTTCATCAACGGGATCGAGATTGTTTCGATGCCCTCTTATCTCTACTACACCGATCCTGACGACTTCATGGAGCAACCGCAAATTGTTGCCACCGTCATGACCCCATATGTCATTAAGAACAAGTTTGCTCTCGAGACCATGTACAGGTTAGTCGCTTCCGGAATTGAAATCCCTTCCTCAGGGGACACAGGTATGCTCAGAACGTGGGAACCTGACATCAAGTACATAACTACTCAAAGTAGAGTATCAGTTTCTTATAGGAAAGATGAAAAGCTGACGTTCATTAAAAACTACACGGCACCAGATCAAGTGTACAAAACCGTTCGGAGTATGGGACTTAATGGCTCTATCAACATGGGTTTCAATCTTACATGGCAGCTTCCCGTTGATTCAGGCTTCTTCTACATGCTACGGTTGCACTTTTGCCAGCTTGATCCGGCGGTTAACTACCCTGGTGACCTGATTTTCAACATCTTCATAGCGGATCAGTTGGCTAGCGATCGGGCAGACGTTCTCATTTGGACTGATAATCGGAAGGGTGTAACGGTAGTTAAAGACTACGTAGTTTCGATACAAGGGAATCTTGACAAAACAAATGTATCAGTGAAACTGCATCCTCTGCCTGGAAGCCGGGGCAAAGACGCGGTTATCAACGCAATTGAAGTCTTTAAAATCAACAACTCAACAGGTAGTCTCGCTGGACAAAACCCAAACCTTCCTCCACAAAAGCCCAAGGTTCCCCTTAGCTCAAACAAGAGAACTAGCGTCATCACGAAAAGCCGAGAAGCCATACTAGGAGCAGTTGCAGGATTCCTTTTGCTCTCTTCTATTGTTGTTTTCTTCCTCATCAAATGCAAAAAGAATATCACCCTTGAAAGTGGTTCCAGCAAAAAAGGCGGAACTTCTCGCGGGGGTGGCTCGTCGCTGCCAACCAACCTCTGCCGCTACTTCTCCATAGCAGAAATCAGAGCCGCCACCAATAACTTCGACGAACAAATGGTGGTTGGCGTCGGAGGCTTCGGCAACGTGTACAAAGGCTACGTAGATGAGGGTTCAGTACCTGTTGCAATCAAAAGGCTCAAACCCGGTTCTCAGCAAGGTATGCAGGAGTTCATGAACGAAATCGAAATGCTCTCTCAACTTCGTCATCTCCATCTTGTTTCCCTCATCGGTTACTGTTACGAGAACGGCGAGATGATACTTATTTATGATTTCATGGAACGCGGAACCCTCAGCGACCATCTCTACGGCTCTGACAATCAGTCCTTGACGTGGAAGCAAAGGGTCCAGATCTGCATAGGTGCCGCAGGAGGGCTCCACTATCTGCATACAGGTGCAAAGCACGTCATCATTCACCGTGATGTGAAGAGTACCAATATTTTATTGGATGAAAAATGGGTGGCCAAAGTTTCAGACTTCGGGTTATCCAGAATTGGGCCCACGAGTTCTTCAATGACCCATGTGAGTACCCAGGTGAAGGGCAGTATTGGGTATTTAGACCCGGAGTATTATAAACGACAGCGGTTGTCGGAGAAGTCTGACGTGTACTCGTTTGGGGTTGTGTTGTTGGAGGTATTGTGTGGGAGGCAGCCTTTGCTCCGTATGGTGGAGAAGCAACAGGTGTCTCTTGTTGATTGGGCAAAACATAGATATCAGAAGGGGTGTTTGGGTGAAATCGTGGATCCAGCACTGAAGGGTAAGATCACACCCCAGTGTTTGCAAAAATTTGGAGAGGTCGCAATGACCTGTTTGCTGGAGGATGGGACCCAAAGGCCTTCCATGAACGACATCATTGGAACGCTGGAGCTTGTTCTGCAGCTTCATGAAAGTGGTAATAGTGGAGTGATGATGGACACTGGTGGGGGTTACGAAGATAGTGAGGACATGTTTAGCAGCAGTCATAGTGGTGCAATAGAATTTACAGATTATAGTAATAGCAGTAGATTTAACACCGCGGGCATTTCAGATGATAGCTATGGGAGCAAGCAATCTGACAGGTTGCTACCTGAGAATGTATTCTCTGAGATTAAGGATCCAAAGGGACGATGAGGTAGGAGCAGTACACAAGTTCAAGCTGAGTTTGAGACTTAGGATAAGAGCAATATGTAAGATTTGTTCTTAAGATAAATCTTAAATTCCGCGGAGATATTAATCTAAAATGCTGGAACCTATATTAAATGTTACTAGACCTCTAATAGCTTATAAAATCTTGATAAATAATAAATGTAATAAGTATTTTAAGTTTGTAGTTATTATTTTTATTCGATTATCTTTATATATATATATATATATATATATATATATACTATTATATATAAATTTGTTATGTATAAATGAAGAGTAGTTCGTTTAATGGTTAAACATTAATAAAATAAATGTATATAATTCGATTAATCTTATTTTTATACATAAAATTATCTTTTAAACGTGATTGTATTTCTTGTTTTATGTTTAACACTCATACTTTTTTACAAGAAAATTTATTACATTTAAATGCATATTTACAGCGACCATCTTTACACATATGCACATAGAAAGAATATATCTTAATAAATAGATCTCTTTATATTACTCTTAACAAAAAGAAACATGTAATGTTGATAATAATTTATATCTTTTGTCCCATATTTATTTTATCGGAATATAAAAGGAAATTATATTTTCTATAAAAAGAGACAAAACACATAATAATATCTAATAATTATGGATGTCGAGATTAGAGACATCATATTAGTATTAGACCTTCAATTCAAGACGCAAATTGCTCTATAATAAAATCATTTTCGAACGCATATAAAAGCAAGAAGAAAGTGAGTACAAAGAAGCTTTTTACATAAAAACAAAAAAACAAAATCTACAAACTCGTTATCTTCTATCTGCTCTTAATTAGTTTTTCATTGCGAAAGAAATCAGGAATGTTGAAGGATTCGGAAGGTTTAAAGTAGATTTAAAAAATGATTTTTTTTATTTATCAATAAAAAAAATGATGTTAATGTTATAATTAATTTAATAGTGGTATATTATTGAATAAAGTTGAATTTTTATAATATAATTTAATAATTAATTTAATAGAGAAATATTAGTAATAAAAGAATCTTTTGAATTTAAAAAAAAATAAAATGAGGATTTTACCTGTTTAGATTTTGAGCGAGTCCTAAAACAAATCTTATATATTATATATTATTTAGGATTACACTTCTTAATATTGTATATTCTTTCCTCGAGAAAGTTTTTAGTTTTTTTTTTTATTAAAAGTGGCAACAAAGTACTTGTAGTCTAATTTTAGGAAGAGATTAAAAAAATTATAAGTTACGTACTACACTAGTTCTCTAGTGTACTGATTTATAATTTAATTAATAGAATTGATTAAATTTTTTTAAAGAAATATTTAATTTAATCCAAGAGTGAAGGTGAATAATATAAACATTTTAACATTTTGTATCCTTCTTATTTCTATAAACACTTTACAAGTTCATTGTATGTTATTTAGGTTTAAATTTAAAATAAATGTTTTAAATGTGTATAATTAATTGAGAAGATTTTAGAAAAATTAATGTCTAATACATTGGCATATTAATACAATTTTTTTCATAAGTATAATAAAAACTCAGTGCCCTTTATATAGACAATGATAACAATAAAACAGGATTAAGACATGTGAAAAAAAAAAACAATAAGATTACAAATATTAGCCTAAAAAGAGAGAGAGGATGAAGAAGATACAAAGCACAATCAAGATACAACTACATAGATATGATAACAGTAAAGGACTAAATTGCCCTTAGTTACAAGCTAATAATTTCCATCTACTTTCTTACGAACGACGGAACAATCAGTCGATGTTTTCACCAAAGCTACAATATGCATATTTCAAGCCTTGTTTCCAAGCTCGGAGTATTAAATATACACACTCTAACTTGAATTTTTCTTTGGTATTGGGCTTTGCACTTGGGCCTATATTGGCCTGTTTTCTCTTTTTGTTGTTTAGAGTAAGTAGTGTTTCTTCCTGTAACTCCATTTTTATCTTCCTGCACCCGCATAAATTACAAAGTTTAAATTTTACCTATCATTAAAATGTATTAAAATCCTAGTTTGAGAGTGTGCACATTTTCTGTTGCCTTTATTCTCCCCTAATTTGGAAGATCCCTTAAAACGGATTCAGTTGAAATCTATCTGATTAGAGAATGAGGAAATTTTTCTTATAAAATAGATGGCAAAATGGAAGCAAAAAGTGAGATAAAATAAACACTGAAACCCTAAGAACTATTTGTTTTCCAGTATCCAAACTCATTCTAGGTTCTCCTAATTCAGAACAGAACATTTTCCTTTCACTGTTTGACGTCTTCATCACCTACTGTAGTTAACCATGAAACCTGTTAAAAGATATAGATAACGTAATGTGATAAAAGAAGCAAAGTGTTTCGGGTATAGGGTTGAAGTCCTTACTCAAAGCACTATAGGTCGTTTTGGAGACCGGACGAACATTACTCAGAGCATTTCAGATTGTCTTGAAGACCAAACGAAATTTACTCAAAGCATTTCAGGTTGTCTTGAAGACCGGACGAACTCTATGAAGACCAGACGGGCTCCCTAATCATCCTCACACCTCAAGTTATATTGTTCGTTCTCCCTCCTCCTTCTCTAAGCCGTGGGGGCGGGTATCTGTCAAAGACACTCCGACGCTCAAGTTAATAATGTAACCGAGCTATAGACACAGGAAGTAATGTATATATTATGCACCGTGATCCTAAAGTCATACATAAGATCTTTATTTACACTAGTTGGTGATGAGCCTTTACCTTTCGCTTGTCTAATTACGGCTCAATCACACGTTAATCTGCATTAGGAGCTTAATGAGTTATTATCGTTTATAATCTAACCATGCGGTCGACCTGGGTGGTCGACCACTCGATCTGCTGGTCGATCGGCCTGATGGTTGGTCGACCTGATGATCGATCGGCTTAGGTGATCAGTCTGATTGGTCGACCCTAAGAAGACGACCTAGGAGGAAATCCTAGGAAAACGACCTGGGAGGACAACCCGAAAAAACATCCTTTAAGGTCGATCTTAAGAGGGCCGTTCGGTACATGACATTGGAAGAACTATATGGTACACAAAGTAAAATAATTATGATAATAAATTTAATCAATAATAATTTGGAAAAAGAAATATCTTTAATTAACATTTATATTATAAAGATTTTTTATATTGTCACTGGATTATTGGTTTTATGAATGTTTTCATATTTTGTAATAATTATATAGGATTTGACAAAAATCAACACTGATAACATATAGCAAATTTGAACTCAATAAAAACATTACATAGATATTTCACTACAAAAAAAAGGAATTTTACCAGGGGTTTTTTTCAGTATTACCGGCGGTTTTAACCCCTAGTAAATACATTTCCCGCGGTTGGCAAAACCACTGGGAAAATCACCGTCACAAAAATTTCCGGCATTTTTTGCGGGGGTTTTCAGAAACCGCCGCTATTAGCTGGGTTTTTACAGAAACCGCCGGTAATTGTGGGGTTCAGAAAAACCGTCGGAACTTGCGTGAGCTAGTAAAAAATCGCAGGTATTTTCTGATTTATGTAGTTGGGGTTTTGAAACCGCCGGTAATGAATATAATTTAATTTTTTTATTATTCAAATTATTTGATTAATGTGATTAATATAAAATATATTTAATATTAAACCAGAATAATATAAAACCAAAAGTAATTATTATAATATAAAATAAACTCTAAAATTCTAAAAACAATTAATTTTTCAACTTAAGAAATAATATATGTTCAATCCTAAAAATTAAAAATAAACATCTTTTACATAACAAATCAAAAAATACTCTGAATAATAATTATCATGCTTGTTCTTCATTTTCATCATCATTCTTGTTCTTCATTTTCATCATCATTTGATATGGTTCATCTATCATATACCTACAATATAAAATAATAATTAATCAATAATTTTTAAAAATGAACTTGCTTCCTTAATCATCATATATATTCAACATCATTTCATCCTTGCATTTTATAGCAACTTAAACCATCACCTACCATTTTACCAAGTGGCATTCATTAGCAATAAATCATAGACTTGCCATTTTGGGAAGTGAAACTCTTGGTAGCCCATTACCACACGTTAGTACTACCAAATATGTTGTCCCTGCAATCAATGAAATTTGAACAAAGTTTCTGCTATAGTATTACTAATTGTCATGCTTTTATTCATCCAATCAAAATAAAACCTATCAACTCTAAATTACCTAATCAAATAATGAAAAAGGATAATTCATCATGAATAAATCAATGATTTTTTCAACCTACTACGTTAAAGTTAAATCACTTGAAAAGGTAAAACTATGCTAAATAATACAAATTATTGAATGTGTACCATATTTGAGAAAGCTAAGTTAGAAAATTATAATTCTGTTTTCATGGAACAAAAAATCTGCAAATGATTAATGTTAGTATTTAACATAATTTATTATATAAATATTTTATATTTTATGATTTTTCTTTCAATAGGCTATGTATAACTATTTTTGCACATCTTTCCAATATTATAGGAAAATTTTCACGCATAAAATTCATCTTTCTTTTATGTTTTTAACTTTAACAAGGCAACAATAGAATTTAACAGTAAACCTTAATAGGACAGGGGAGACTAAGATGCAACATGAACAAAGCACCTTCAAAACCAAAACATATATTAATATAACAAGAAGAAAAACCCAGTAATAAACATTTTTCAAACTTGGGGTTGAAGTGCTTCCTGCTCTCAGAATGATACCAAACCAGCACTAAAAAGCAAGAGGAGAATGAAGGAAAACAAGGTTGATAGAAACTGCAAGAAAAAAATTGAAACTGAAATCAAAGAAAAAGAGCATTTCCCATGAGCTATTACCGTGAAAGCATTTTAGAATCCTAACAATCAATGCATAAATTGAGTTGAATGCAAATGAAATAACTTACAGATACGTAAGGCGTGGTATCGTGCTCAACCAATTAATTTGGACCTTTATATAAATTTGGGTATTCAACCAGTTAAGCAAATTTCTAACTATCATGGTTTTGGTGGGATCTGCAAATGATATTCAGAGTACACTTCATCAAATTTTTCAACTAGCAAACGAAGAAAAAAAAGGTTGATCCACAAAATTATGTACCACAAGATAATCGGTGGTGTAAGGGTATGGATTAGCCTTGGGAATCATTGCTATTTCCTCCTCCAATTCTTTGTGCAGAAGTTCCATGATCAATTTCTTCTCTTTCTCGGCACCTCTTTCCTGTAATGATTAAGAATGTTGGTTTAAGAATAACTAGATCAAAAACACTACAGTTTCAAACTATGGAGAGAACCTCTCTGTGGAGATGAAATGCATTTGGAGTTGTCTTTCTTTTAGTTGGGTTATGGTTACATTCAGGTTCAGACTTCAAAGAAAGCTACAACCATAAAAAATAAAATGATTACTCTCAATAGATAAAAATGATTTCAGAATTGAAAAGAAAAATATTATTTTTATATTCTAGATTACTGAATATCTGAGAGCAGACACTTCATCAGTTTTATATGTTGCAGTAGCTTTAGTTTACTACAGTTCACCTGTAGTTAGGAGCCTAGCCTAATACAATATAACATCAATCAATTTTCAAAATACATTATCACAGTTCAACCATAACTAAGATGATTATAAGTTATAACACATGACTTAATCATATTCTCAAACAAGGAAAGAAATGACACCTGCCTACAATGATATTTTGCGTCCTGAAATCAAATGGTTACCTGAAAAACAAAGCAGAAAAGTGTTTATCATAACCACATCTTTGTTTATCATAACCCCTTTAAGAACTTGATATAAGTATGAAATTAATGAATTCAATAAAATTTTCAAGTTTCAGTAATATATTCCCAATATAAAAGTAGAAAAATGTTTTCAAGAACTCCCACTCCAAAATGTTTAGCCAGAAAAATAATTGCGAAGAAAATAAAGAATGCCAAACATAATAGAAGTTAAAGTTTCCCTGGATATCCAACCACTGCTTCCCAAACCTTCCTACCACCCACCGTTTGCACATCTTGCACCAACTTCATTTTAGTTTCCCTGTAAAGCCCTTGCATACAAAAATAATATAATTATTCTGGGTAGAAGATGAAGGAGCTAATCAATAAGAGATTAAAAAAATGAATTAAAAATATTTAAGTAAAAGAGAAGGGAAGATAGCTTTATGGATGCAACTTTTGACACCAAGATCATAAGTAGGGGTAAGTTTGAAACTTTACATTAATACAAATCTGTCTAGAACTATTGACTTTAATATTATTCAAGGTGCTACCAAAGAAACGAAGTACGTACGAATCCTATATATTGTAATTGAAATATGTTCTAAAAGTAAATCCATTCATTCCTCTGAAGCCTTTCATGTGAAGATAACAGAGCAAAGTTTCATGTTGAGATAAAAATCTTTATTGTCTTAATTAAGCTCGATCACCATAATGTTCCAGTGATCAATTGTTCCTCTTGCATACAAACACCATGGTCGAAACATGTACCTCCCTACAACCAACAAGAGAGACTAAAGTCAATCCAACTTGAACAGACAACAAAATTAATATATGAGAATTTAATAAAACGTAAAGCATTTTAGTAAGTAAAATAATCTACAGCTATACTCCATCGATCCCATATTCATCCTCTTAACTGCAACACGAGTAGAAGTAGAAGAACATTCATCAAAATCATCAGCCAACTGTCCAAAAAGCCTGCCACTCATAGATTGCCTACTTTCAAGATCTATTACTCCACAAGTTTAGGTTTGAAGAATGATAAGTTCACCAATTTTCATAAATTATAGAAAACACGAATTTTCAAAATCCCCTTCAAAACCCTAACCCCTAAATCACAAGAATCAGAAAAAAAAAAAAAAAGAACATGATTCGAACCCTATTTGGCGAAGCCCATCCCCGCGCCGTGAAGACGTCACCGCCGTGGTACCCACCACGCACGGTAAGGATGGAGGTCGCGCCTAGCCGCCGAAACTTGTGTTTCCTCTCTACCAAAACCGAACCTAAACCTCCTCCTTTGCCATGCTCCTTGCGCGAGAACTCCACGTCTTGTTTGAAATGCAGAAAATGTGAAGAACAACGTTCGAGACGCGAAGGCTTCAAGACGCGAATNAAGATGAAAGAGCTAATCAATAAGAGATTAAAAAAATGAATTAAAAATATTTAAGTAAAAGAGAAGGGAAGATAGCTTTATGGATGCAACTTTTGACACCAAGATCATAAGTAGGGGTAAGTTTGAAACTTTACATTAATACAAATCTGTCTAGAACTATTGACTTTAATATTATTCAAGGTGCTACCAAAGAAACGAAGTACGTACGAATCCTATATATTGTAATTGAAATATGTTCTAAAAGTAAATCCATTCATTCCTCTGAAGCCTTTCATGTGAAGATAACAGAGCAAAGTTTCATGTTGAGATAAAAATCTTTATTGTCTTAATTAAGCTCGATCACCATAATGTTCCAGTGATCAATTGTTCCTCTTGCATACAAACACCATGGTCGAAACATGTACCTCCCTACAACCAACAAGAGAGACTAAAGTCAATCCAACTTGAACAGACAACAAAATTAATATATGAGAATTTAATAAAACGTAAAGCATTTTAGTAAGTAAAATAATCTACAGCTATACTCCATCGATCCCATATTCATCCTCTTAACTGCAACACGAGTAGAAGTAGAAGAACATTCATCAAAATCATCAGCCAACTGTCCAAAAAGCCTGCCACTCATAGATTGCCTACTTTCAAGATCTATTACTCCACAAGTTTAGGTTTGAAGAATGATAAGTTCACCAATTTTCATAAATTATAGAAAACACGAATTTTCAAAATCCCCTTCAAAACCCTAACCCCTAAATCACAAGAATCAGAAAAAAAAAGAACATGATTCGAACCCTATTTGGCGAAGCCCATCCCCGCGCCGTGAAGACGTCACCGCCGTGGTACCCACCACGCACGGTAAGGATGGAGGTCGCGCCTAGCCGCAGAAACTTGAGTTTCCTCTCTACCAAAACCGAACCTAAACCTCCTCCTTTGCCATGCTCCTTGCGCGAGAACTCCACGTCTTGTTTGAAATGCAGAAAATGTGAAGAACAACGTTCGAGACGCGAAGGCTTCAAGACGCGAATTGAAATTCAAGAAACGTAGATAAACGGCGCGGGAAAGAAGTAGGGTTGGCGAAAATGAGTTTGGAAGCTGAGAGATGTAAAGGAAGGTTCAAGAAAAGGAAGAAAGAGGACTGAGAAAATACTCATAAAAAATAAGTTTTAAAAAATAAAAAAATAAAAAACATAGCTGCGGTTTTATTAAAAACCGCGGAAATTACTTGGGGTTTTGAAAACCGCCAGAAAATAACCTCCCCTAAAATGTATTATTTTTGTAGTGTTTGAATATCATTCTTTGAAAAAACAAATCAGGCTTAGCATTATAACATTTTCAATACGCACATTCAATGATAAGACTTGGCAATTTATAATATAAAATTATCCTCATATATGCAGTTTTTATTTTTTTTATGTATTTAACCTTTTCGAAGTACAACTTGGCATGAACCGCAAATACCAAATAAAAGAGTATTTTTACGTTGACAATTGATGCATGTAGTTGGTTCAACGGTTGTGTGTAAAGCGAAGTATATCTTATTCTTGTACATGAATGCATAAATAATTTCCCTTTGTATTACAAATAAAAGCCTTGTAAATTTAAATTTTGGACGAGTAAGATAGAATATATATTGAAGTATGAGCTATTTATTTCCAGGGGTCCATTTTCTTACAACAAGAACTACTATTCACACACTCTTATTTACAATTTAGATCTCGGCTTTATTAAAAAAATATCAAAATAATATAAAAACGTTGATGGTCTTTTTATAAAAACAATTAGTTTTTATGAAATATTAAAATTTTTTCTTTATTTGTTTTTTATTAAATATCATGAATATGTCTGTTTTATATTAATAATGTACAAGAGAACTTTAAGAGTCCTTAATAATATAGGTTGGGATACATGAGTAATATTATTTATAAATTTTAAAAAAGTTAATTGAGTTAGCTATTTTTTATTAGCATGTGTGATTTAGTTTAGAAGTTTACTTAACAACAAACAAAAACAAGTTTTCTTTAAGCATCGGAACTAGGTACTCAATATAAACATCTGGTAACTAACTAGTAGGCTTTGTTTTTATATATTTGAGAGACTGTTTTTTTTAAACAATTTGAGCTTTCAAAATGTGAATAATATCCTGTTCCAATATTTAGGTTTAGAAAAAGAATTTGTTATAAGTAGGAATAAACAGGTCAGATACTTCGATCAAAAATACAGGTGGAATACTTGTTTAAAACATATTTATGAATATTTTAAAATCTATAGTATCTTTAAATACCAACAAATATTTAAAAATAATATATTTTATAAATTTTTAAAATAAAATTACAAAAAATATTAAATATAATATATATTAAATTTTAATTTTAATTAAATTAAATTTAATTTAATATAATATAAATTAAATTTTTTTTAGAATAATAAATATATACGATAATATAATACCCATCCGACTTATTTTATAAATGTATATTAGAAAACTTATTATCTGTTATTTACCAGTAATAAAATTATTCGTTGTTGTAGATTTCATCTAACACGCAAACATAGTATATTTTTACCATACCTAATTACACATTTATGTCATTTAATGAGAAGAATTCAATAGGTGTTAAGATTTGTTAAGCGGTAAAGTTGAAAATGTTATTTAATGAGAAGAATTCAATAGGTTTTAGAGAGTTTCTTCCTGCACCACCACACCTTTTTTCTTTCACCTCTTCCAATTTTTCATAATTTCAAAAATAACCTTAGATAAATATTATTTACTTTAACTTTACTCTTTCCTTTTTTTTTTTTAAATCCTAATATCTTTCTCTTTCACTCCAACGCTGCAACCCACTCCACCCCACATTTCATTTTTTAAACTCTCTCTTTCCATCTTCTTCTCCTCTCCATTCTTTCTTAATATCACTCTAACCCCTTCTTCACTCTTTCAAAATATAAAAAATGCACCACCATCAGCACCATTCTTGTACTTTATCATTGCATCCCTTCAACACAACCCATCATTCATCTCCATTCCTACCATTTTTCTCACAAATAAAATCACAGTGCAGATTCTACCCTATGCTCCATTCATCATCATCAACCAATACATTTTCCTTCACCTTTACCCTTCATGTTCATCTTTTTTCTCACCTCTTCATCATCTTCAACAAATTCCATACTCAACCTTTTTCCTCCAACATCTTTTTTATCTTTTTTCTCCAACAAAACCATTGTCTGAACAATCATTCAAGGTCATATCATTTTCATCCCCTCCATCCAGCTAGCATTCTCGTCCAACACACACAAACCCAATCAAAACAGAGAAACATTTTGAACAGAGAGCACACTAGGGAGGCAGGGTCGTGAGAGCACACTAGGGAGGCAGGGTCGTTGCCAACTCTCGATCTGTATTTCGAATGAAAGAAAGAAGTGTCGTCGGTGGTGGTCTCGGAAGAGAACAACAGTGGGACCCAAAGATGAATAGGGAGTTCACGTCTTCGCCGGCGGTTCGGGGTCCGAGGGGAAGATGCGCGGCAACGGCAACGGCGTGCTCGGTAGATGGTGGAGAAAGAAATACATGGTGGTGCAGGGAGAAACTCTCTAGGTTTTAAGGTTTGTTAAGTGGTAAAGTTGGAAGGGAGTATGATACAAGGTTGTGGGTTACAAGTTAAGTTTCTTCTTACACCTCCCTTTTGTCTTCTTCCTATACTTCGCCTTTTTAGCTGTTTTTCCTTGCACCTCCCTCATTATTAGATTTTATGGGGTTACAGGAAGAAATTGCCAACTACTAAATGGCAACTATGTTAGCTCTGAAAAAATTGTCGTCAATAATATTAGCTAATAGTTTTTCATACAAAACCGTTGACTGGGCTGAACTAAATGTAATTGGATTGTTATTAGGCCTAACAGAGGAATCCAACGACAGAGAGCTTCTAGTACGAGGGACAAGAAGAAACAATTATCAGATGAAGCCTTTGAATTTTCAATGTAAAAGGTTCCTCGATCACTTAGCCAGATTTATTTCTTTCAATTAATCAATTCTTGCATTTAGTATTTTTCTTGCAATCTATTTGATCATTATTATATTTAGCCTTTAATGCAATTATCATTAGGAATAGTTTAGTGTAGAAACATAATCTTCACTCTTAGAAACAATTATCATTACCATATAGTTTCTCTCAATTAACACCTTTTGTAATTGATTACATTAATCTCCCTCTTGAACGACTTTGGTATTGTATAATCAATTATAAGGTTTTGTGATCAATTAGCAGAGCATAAAAACGTTTGAAGGTGCATAATTTCACCTCTATTTGAATGTTAGTCTGAAATCGTGACTTCTTCATCTAAAATGTCTGTCCTTGTAACTTGTCTAGATACGTAAAAAAAATGTCTAGATACGTAAATTCGAAAACATTTCTGTCTGTTTCGGTAAAAAAAAAAAACCTTGTTATTCATGATATCAATGTAAGCATCAAAACATATCCTATCTTTAAAATTATTCATTATTTCAGAATATATCGAACAGACAAGGTAATAAATAATTGAACATGATCAACTGCTGAAAAACACAAACACTGCTTGTATAAACATCAGACACAACAACAGCACAACATTGCTCTATATAAATCTATTGCTACAACAACAAACACAAACACAAACAACAACGTCACAAACCACAAACACTGTTTATTTCATTTTCACTTTCAGACGAAGCCCCAGAGAATTTAACGCCATGCTCTAACTCAACGGTTCATGCCACCTTGCACTCCCGGTGCTGAAGTAACGCTACGTGTATGCATTTCCACATTCCCTTCCCAACCTATGCATGCAACCACAAACAACTCATGAAGGAAAACTATCAGAAATTTAAACAACTTTTTAGCACTTAATTAATTACCAGCAGAGATGTCAAATCCACGGGCTTTGAGCTCCCGATAGTTCTGGCAAATGGATAAATGGAGGCAACAAGAACTGACCAAACAATCAGTACAATTGTCTCCCTCAATCCCGTACATCTCTCTCAGTTTTTCACGGTACAAGCACGCGTAGATACACCCTCCCACAACAGTAAAACCAGCAAGTAGATAGAACAGTGATCCATGAAGACAACAAGCTGCACTAACAAAAATCATTTAACAGAAACAGAAATTAAGAAAAGATATAGGGTCGTAATTTATTATCTACACACTTACAAATTTCTCCTTTGTCCAGGATCTCAGCTACCCTTCCAAAGCTAACACAGGGGCAACAATAAGTGAGACAACCTGCGGACAAAAGACTGAAGATCATAAAATGAAGGTAGCTTAATCTGTTTGATATTTATGAAGCAAATAAGTAAGAGTATTATGATATGGTTAAAGATAATGGAAGAGGGAAAATGAGTTAATACAAGAATCGCAGTCTGAGAAGCAGTCGCATAAACCAGTGGACCATGATCCAGACATTTTTTAAGAGAATCTGAGTGTCAAGCACTGCTACTGTGGTGCAGCATTGCCTCAATGGCTCGCTATTAAATACAGGGAAGCCAAGGAAAAATACAAATCTCCTTTTTTAATAAATTTTATTTATGACTGTGGTATTAGGGCACTTATTTTTAATACCCTATATTAATTATGACGTGTATGATAAAAATATTTTTCCTACAACAAAAATCTTCTTTTAGATAACTTTTAAACTATGAAAAGAATTAATACTTAAACACATATTTATGACTGTGGTGTTGCGGCAATTATTTTTCTATAAACACACATATTTTTAATACCCCATATTTATGACGATAAAAAGGTTTTTCCTTGAAAAAAAGAAAAACACACACGATTTTGTTCAAATATGGATAATCTAAAAGCCATTATAAATTTTGACATGATTCGAAATCAAATTTTATCCACTGAAAAATTATTCATTTGGGTTGCTTATGAAAGATTGATCAGTTCGCAAATCTGTGATAGAAAAAAAAATAACATTTCAATGTGTAATATCAACAGCCCAACATTAAAAAAAAAGTAAAGGATGACACGTTTAATCTGTATTGTTTATGGAGATACAAGCATATCAAACATGCTAGAGAGAACATGAGATTTTTTTTTTTAAATCTGTATTGTTGGAATTTGAATTATACGAAGACCAGTATACATGCAACTGATGAGAATAATCCAACCTTGTAATTCTTCTTGAACATTGTACTTACGCAGGTTTGGAACTTTGTGTGGAGGGAAATGTTCATAGCTGGAACTGTTGTATAGCAATAAATATTTTCCATCATGTATTTGCCAAATGCTGAATCTGATTGCCCAACAGTTTTTAGTTTATTCACTGTGCTAGCCCCACTAAACCAATATCACACACTTTTTTTACAATAATTTCTTTCATAAAATTCACCGTTGATTTCTTTTATAGTTTAGAACACACTTTTGTATCCAACCACCTAATTCAAGACATGAAACTAGTTTCATTTATTCACTTGTATAAAAATTATAGCCATCAATAAGTATTTTAAAAGAAAATTATAAAACATCTTCTTTTAAATATATCTGAGTATCGATACTCAGAAATTTTAAAAACCCTGTGAATAATTTTTAAGTGAATATCTGATAGATAACAACAGGTAAAGTTTTTTCATTATAAGTTAGATAACGAATATCGACTTGATCCGTTGTTATTCATATTCATGTTCACATATATAGTCTTTGAGACTAATATTCTTTTAGCCCCTTGTTTGGAAATCTTTGAAAACGAAGTTTATTCAAAAGTGTGTTACGACTCACCCCATAAACCTCGAGTCCCGTAACGACTCAACCCACCGTGTGTTTAGGGGAATACATAATGACCTTTATAACCATTTGCATGCTCTTTGTATATTGACATTGAATAAGAAGAAGTTTTGTTTTTTCAAACTTTCTCTTTCTTTTTTTTTCTCCAATCTCTTTTCTAATTAATATTTTCAAAAATAAATCAAAATCTTACGTATCAATATAGAGCTCCTCAATTTTAAATGACAATACTTGTTCAAATGGGACTACAATCTTCTCTATTTCTACTGTTTTCAAAGTTTTACCTCAGAAATCTATTTAGATAAAATTCTCTATATAAACATTTGTAGAACAAATAAAATAAAAAGAATGAAATAAACTTCTGTTTCACTATACTTAACCTATAAGTTTGAAGAGTTTTTTTTTTAAATGTATTCTATTATTCTGACAAAATATCTATCTATATATACGTATATGTTTGTAAAAATATTCAGCAGAAAAAAAAGCCGAAGACTTGCTTAGAAGACTTTAGCTTGGATAAATTAAGAGCATCCTTCTTTGGTCTCAAAGGAATGCGTCCCTACTTCTGATCCTATGCTTTTCTTTTCCACTTCGACATTTTGTCACTTACTGCACCTATTATTCAGTTTCTAGAAGAATAGAAAATATAAATTATATATTTTAAGCAACTTGTGCCTGGTTAGTTGTTACTAGCCACACATGTTTCGTCTTCTGCATGACTTTAAAGTCTTGCTCATTGACTTGTTGAATAATCTACAATTATTTTATCTATTATTAATAATCATTTTCATCTATTATATATATATATATATATATATGAATTATAAATATTTAAAAAGATATATAATTATTTAAATAAAAAAGAGAAATAGTCAGTTATGAATTTAAATACAAAATATTTTTATTTAAAAAGTCGACAGAAATTTATGTAAGAGTATAAGCACCTGATATTACTAATGAACAGCGTTTCTAGTAGAAACGTTTTAAAGTGAATATTTTAAAAAGTTAACATTTGGAATAAAACAATTTCTAGAAAGCTAATTACTTAAAAATAACTGATAATGTAATCATGTTAATTAACAAATTATTTCAAAGTTCTAAGTTAACGGTGAATGTAATCTAATTATTTCTAGAAAGCTAATTACTTAAAAATAATTAATTATAAAATACATCCTTCAACATAACTTTGCCACCATTTTCACTTGCAGAGATACATACAGTCATCACTGAATTTTAAGGAATATTTGGTAATTGGAGAATATTCATTCAGGGTACTGTACTACTATTCACACACTCTTATTTACAATTTAGACCTCGGCTTTATTAAAAAAATATGAAAATAATATAAAAACTTTGACGGTCTTTTTATAAAAAAATTAGTTTTTATGAAATATTAATTTTTT